GCGGCGGCGGCAGCATAACGCCCATACCCACGTCCAAGTCGGCGTTCATCGAGCTCCAGCAGAACCCGTACAACGTGCGCGGCGTCTACCATCCGCACCCGCACGCCCATCCGCACTTCGCGGCAGCCGCCGCGGCCGCGGCTAACCAGCACCACGGCAGTCCCACGCAGCACCACGGCAACGCGGCCTCGCTGCAAACGCACCACCACGACGCTGCCGGTGGTTTCGGCAGTCCCAGGGGCGCCATGTCCGCGTACCCGTTCCCGACAATGCACCAGAACTCGTACTCGAGCTACCACATCGGATCGTACACGCCGCAGTGTCCGTCGCCCTCCAAAGAAGGTAAGCGCCACGCATATACCTATCCCGTCGGCTCAGGTACCTACGCCCCAGTGTGTCCGCGACTCGCCGTTACCAGCGTCCGGTGAACGGGTCTCGTCGCTCCGGTCGTCCGTCGGTCTTCGACCTATTTGAACCCTTGAAACGTCGCTATAGTTTTCACGGTTATCCCTAAACATTTCAAAACCGACACACCTACATGTTAAGCGCGTAATACTTAGCATAAATACGCAACAGTATCTATACCGTATGGGTTTTACGACATTAGGCGTTTTTCACAAATGTACGATAAATACAACGTTTTAACTTTTATTCGTGCGGTCGTGACGTGCGAATACGAACATGTAGTAATTACATCTACCCGGTATCGGGATTCATTGTTTTGAGAAAACCGGAGTCATACGAGAATCCCGAATGGGAAGGCGCAGTCGAATTCTACGAAATATATTCGAAATCGCAAACCTATCGTATCATTATCGTCCCTCTCCCGCCCCTTAGTGGTTTTCGGTGTTGATGACGCATGAATCGTGATCAAAAAATATATCGTCGTCGACCAACTCAAGAAAGCCGTCTTGTCACTGGCCTCGACGTTACCGCGAAATCGGTTGAATTTGACGTCCCGGGTACACGCAGAAAACGGAAAACCGTTCAATCGCTTATTTCATTCCGACCGTTGTGATTTTTCCGTCGGCTCCGTAACATCCGTAATATCGTTACTTAGAATACATCAGAAATTCGATTACAACACATTTTCCGTTCGAACGGTTTGAATCGTTTTCCGATTCTCGTCATTCCGGCGAAAATCAGTTCGCAGCTCGTCGTTTATCACCGCACAAAACTCCGAGGCCTCCATCAGTTTCCATTAATTTTGCCGATCGTCGTACAACGAAATCTAATTATTTCCAAACACCGTTGAAATATGGATGAATTCAAAAGTGAATAAAACGCACATTTCGGTTATTCATATTATAATTGATGTACATACTTGTGCGTGATAAATACATGCATGGGTATTATCACGGGGGGGGGAAGGATATGGAGGTTTATCATATAAGCAGTGCTCGAATTGGGGGGGAGGTGCCCAAGGGGACGGAGCTCCTCTACTATTTTTTTTTTTTTTTTGCGTACCCCAATTATATTTTTTTACCGGAACGGGGGACGCCGTATTCATCCTAATTGATGTCCAAAATAATTTTTATGTGAATTTCAATTTACGTCAATTGGAAAATTAATTTTACCATTTATAATATCAAAACTATTTTTATAATTAAAGATTATATGGTGGTTACGATAAGGGACAACGTCGTAATTTCTGGAAAAATATAAATAGTAATGTCTGTGAATTTGGTGTATTATACTTTATACATTGTACGGTTTGTTATTAATATTGGCGATCAACGATATTGTCATTTCGGCAAAAAATAATTGCCTTCACCACGACCTTAGACTAATCTTCTAAGGCCGTAGCCTGCACTAAAGAGTAAAAATAAATAAAAACAAAAACCAAATATATGATTATATCATTCGATTCATGAGACTGCCTGATCGTCTACAATTACCTATGTTAATTATTATTTTATTTTTATTTTTTATTATCACATATAAGATGTTGGTATTGCTATCAAAATATATTATATTTGGAATTTTAATTATTTGTTTAGCTGAAAAGTGGTATTCAAAATATATTTTAGGTTGGTAGAGGGGGGAAGAGGGACGAAGCTCCCCACGGGTCTGTGTTAAATAATTGCGCACGTGGAACACAGTTTTCAAATGGTTGGACTGAGCTTCTCTACTTAATTTTTCCCAATTCAAGCACTGCATATAAGGAAGGGGGTCGGGGACTTGGCCTCATGGCTCATTTTTTATTAAATTTCCATATCCCCCTCTTTAATAAATCTTGATAACGCTTCTGAATACACACATATACAATGTAGTTTTCAATATAATATTGTTTGTCCACACAAATCTCATATGGGTATTATCGTATACACGACGGGCAGCAAAAACGATGATTCACAATAATATATATACCGTATAACATTGTCTCGATCGATCGGTTTGCTCGTCCCGTTCTTCCATGTATTAATTTATATACCAGGATCAGACCACTCGGGTAGTCGTGTTATTCATAGGTATTACACGCGTATTTTATTCGTATTGAAATTCAGTACGTGTGGTGACTTTCAGCAAGGGATCAGTTGCGCGCGTCATTTTCTTCGAGGAAAACATAATTATTAAGTACAATGCTAAGTGATTCTCGGTTGTATTTTCAAATGCGTGCACGTTTCACAATATAATACATTAAATAGAAATATATTAATATAATATTATTTGATAGTTCACTTTTGGATATTTTTTTGAGTATCTGATCTATATATGTACCTAATTTACATGAACTTCACGATTAACTGGTAATGAAAAAAGGTTAATTTTCCAAGGCGAATACAAAATAAAATAAAAATACACGTCTAGTGAGGCGAAAATAAATTTATTCGAGTAATGACATGGGTGATTTAGAGCAATACACTGTTTTTGTTGATTAAATAAATGTCTGAAGTTTAAAAAATAGTTTTATAATTATATGATAATATGTTCCGCAATTATTTAGTACAGATTAAAATACACGCACACGCACACGCACACACACATTTATGTAGGAAAAAAGTAAAAGAACAAAAAAACCCTCTATGTATAACCCAATTACAATGTTTTTTGCCATTAAACACAATGTTAGTTTAAATTGTCAATTGAAGTGTTTGTTAACTATTGTCAAAAACAGAGATAACATTTTTTTTTCATCCACATATTTGTCCAACTTTTTTATGTACACTCATTTGTGCCTATCTTCTGGCTTATCTTGTTAATGTGTCACCAAGACCTTTCAGTCCTTTCAGTCGTTGCAATGTCTATACATTAATATGAGCTCTATCATAGACGAAACGGTTCGTGTTTGATGTCTATAAATACATGTACCCAATCAGAGTCCCTATCGAGAATAAATAATATTTCATTTTAACGTGGATCGTTTCGTCAATATTTTTATTTTGTTTCATAAGAGAAAACTCCCATAGCACTAAGCCCCTTTCCCTTTTTCCGGCTCTCGGTACAACGCACATACAATTTTATGGATCACCAAAAATGTATTTTAATCAATATTTAAAATAATTTCGACGTGTATCGATATTAAATATTTTGCTGTAAAATAAACCAGCATCATACTAGCACACACGCATGAAATATATTGTTTTAACGTGTAATTGCGATGTTCGATTATTTACACCAGTGTTAAACTTTATAATGACTAAAAATAATGAAAAATAATAATAAAAGTAAGCAGTAAATACACAACAAGACACGAACATATATGGATACAGATGAAATCGAAAATTACCGATTGATTTTTTTTCCATAAGTGTAATTGAATTTTTTCTTCGCACAATCACGATACCTATTTATTATTTTTTAAATACATTTTACTATTTCTGATTCCGCGAATAAGAAATCGGAAAACATTTTCAATGGGTTAAAAATTAATTACTTAAATAAGCGGTAATTATTACCGGTTGAATGATGTGCATAAAAACTATAATACTTAAATAATTAACAGTAACAGTAATTTGATTCGATTATAGGTAGGTACTATGTAATAATATTAAAAAACTATTAAAGTTACTGATCAATAAAAAATAAGAACAAAACGATCCATAAATTCCTTTCGTAGATCTTTTCGAGAAAATCATACACTTTTACAAACGAGATTATGAATATTTACTTTACTCATTTGAAAAAAAAAATATCGTTATGTATATCATACACAAAATGGATATTTCCAAACTTATTTCTGTTTAGGTATATCGTTTTATACGATTTCCTTTTTATGGAAATTGGTGTACGTCGGGATTTATTAATAATAAATAATTTTGTTTACACTAAAAGATACTATTAAATATTTCAGTTGGATGATCTTGTATTGGAATATTGTTTTCGAAGAATAAAAGGGAGTGCCAAAATACACAATTTCAGGCAAATTTTAAATTTTTTACCCGAACGGTTTGCGCTTACGCAGTTCAAATTACTTTTCTTAAAAGGCAACAATTTTTTCTACATATTTAGGTTAAATATTTATTTTTTTTATCCAATTTTTGTACAAAAAGTTTTTTTCCTAATTATAAGATTGGCCAACTTGTGTATGCCTAAAATTTAAATATTTATGAACAATTTAATTTTAAACAATATTTTTCAACGGAATACTTTAAAATCGAAATAATATCTCCGACGTTTTCATTTTAAGTCATCTTTCTGTAATAAACCATTTTTTTTTTTTTTTTTAAAAGGAAAAACTATTAGCTGGACAGCTAAGTATATTAAAGACGTCCATAATTCATAATGCATTTCGAACTGGTTATTTTTTTTTTCGAGGATTCAAAAATATTTCCCAAATAGGTTTGCACGCGTAAAATTTGAAATACCGTATACATCACCATGTGCATATACACTAAAGACAAGTGTTTTTAAAACGCACGCACAATAACAACGTATTGTAACGCATTATAAATGTACACGAATAGATCTAGAGGCTTGTGTACAATGTTCGCATATCGGTGTGTGCGAGGTACTCCGAGCGGGAATATTTGACGGTAAAAAACTCGGTCGCGTGTGGGCGTCGGCGCGCGGGTGGCGCGTACGGCACAAACACTCCGTGTGTGTATACAATATAGAATCGTTTGCATATTTATTTTTCCGATTTTCGTTTTCTGACCCACGCACCGTTACGAGATTTTCAGAACCGAATGTCTGAAATAATCCACGCATATATTACAATATATATTGTCTTATTACGTTTTTTCGTGTTCGCTAAAACCGACGGCTGTGATCCTGTGCGGTGGTTCACAATAATACAATTCTTTCCGTCTTCCTGTTACACAGGGAACACGCATTTTCCATACAACTCTTTTCCATGATATGTTTATTTTCCGGTCATGAATGCAATTTCAGAGTTCGAT